AAAGGGTAGTTCATTCAGTAATTAGATTGAATACCCCCCCCAATTTGGTATGGTCTGTAGGATTAGATGCAATCTCTGGGTATATTCTTTCATGTTTGTTTCGATGGGCTATTGATTAGTGTTGATATAATTTTGGTGCTTCGATTTTAGATGTTTTAAGGAATAAACTGGTGTTAATGCATACAATGAAGAATGACCAAATTATTCATAGCATTAGAAATCTTCCGTATGAAGAAAGAGTGAAGTCCTTTAAATAACATTCACTTGTATGAAGAAGAATGAGAGGAGACATGATCGAAGTGGAAGATTGGTATTAAAAAAAGGGGTATATATAAGGTTTTGAGGATATCTCTCCAAGAGAGAACCCGCAATAATGGATTCAAATTAGATAAGTTTAGATTTAGGAAGGATATAGGAAAGTATTAGTTATGAAACAGGGAAGTTGAAGAGTGGAACAGTCTGCCCAGTAGGATTATAGAAGCTAAAACCTTGGGTAGTTTCAAGTTTAGGTTGGACAAATACATGGATGAGAGGGGTTGGATTTCAGTGGGACTTGTACGTGAGTAAATAGATTTGTCAGAGCTTATTGTTAGGGTGCACTGAAAGTGGGTTGGGAAATGTTCCGTTAGTGGGTTGGTATTGTAAAGGACCTGCCAAATATGTGTCAACAGGCCTACTGTAGTAATCGTTCTTTCTTATGTTCTTATGTGCTTATGCTGATTTAGAGGGAATCAGAAGTAAACTCATGTGTAAATGCAAACAACTCATCCGTCCCGAGTGATTTGCTCATGGAGAGGGATTTATGTGAGTCACTAATTTCTGCCGAGTGGATGTTGGTTGCTCAGAGGACACGATAGATGATCACCACTCCAGCCTTGTCTGCCGAGTGGATGTTGGTTGCTCAGAGGACACGATAGATGATCACCACTCCAGCCTTGTCTGCCGAGTGGATGTTGGTTGCTCAGAGGACACGATAGATGATCACCACTCCAGCCTTGTCTGCCGAGTGGATGTTGGTTGCTCAGAGGACACGATAGATGAACACCACTCCAGCCTTGTCAAAAAAGTTATTTGGCACGACTTTCCTCATTTCCTGTGGAATAAAATAATATGAGATAATTTTTAAATATATATTTTATATATATATTATATATAATATATATTATATATATTTATATATATATATATATAATATATTATATATATATATATATTATGGCACGGCTGGCAATACTAGGAGAGGCAAGTGTCGGTCATGCTTACAGCTTCGTTGTCTCAACTCAATGGTTTCCTCCGCAAACACGGTAGTTGCCTGGTTCAGGATGTCCTCCTGTGGAAAGTGATGATCCAGAGCCACTCAGGCACCTGAACCCACTCCAACAGATTTTATCTCATCAGACAATCTCTTGGAAGCAATTAAAGCAACAGGTACGAGGACACTCACACATATTCCCAAAGCAGCCCGTCCACACGCAGCTGGGAAACTTACAGACCTCCTGAAAAAAGTAAACGATGGTTCCACTATCTTAAATGCTCCACCAACCATCAAGGCATGGCACAACTTGCTACTTTTTGGCAATGTCTGCTTAGCTGTGCCGGAAAGAAGGGGAAAGAGGCTAGCCTCAATGATAATTAAATCCTTAAGAGATTTTCCTAGAGTTGATAACCTCATTCACCTTCCCCGTCAACACAAAAAAGGGAGAGGCAGAACCCCCACTCACTCTACTAACAGTGAAAAAGTCAGAGTCCAGGTGAGCAAGAAAATTGAAGAGGGCAACACAGTGGGGGCAATCAGAATTATTACCAGTGAAGATACAGTTGCTCCCAGGGATGCTGACACGGCTGAAGCACTTAGAGGAAAGCACCCTGCCAGGGAAACCAGTGCCACCAACAGTTCCAACACCTCTGTCCCCACTATGGAACATTGATTGTGGAAGACTCAGACATTTACAAGAAATAATGTCGTTCCCTTTCTGGCTCTGCTGGGGGTTACACTGGAATAAGGCCAACAGCATTTAAAGGAAATGGTTAATCCAGTTATTGGGGAAATTGCAGAGACACTGCTTTCAGAGATCACAAGGTTCGTCAACAATTCCTTGGCTGGTCTGATTCCTGATGAAATTAGACCTTTCTTTTTTGGTGCAACACTTTGTGCACTTAAAAAGAAGGATGGAGGAATTCGGCCAATTGCAGTAGGCAACACATTACGCCGCCTCGTATCCAAAGTGCTGTCCGAAGTATTCGTGCACAGGCACCCATTGATGCTTCAACCAAACCAGCTTGGCTTTGGGGTCTCTCAAGGAAGTGAAGCAGCGGTTCATGCAACAAGGGCATATATCAACGACCTGCCTGAGGACAATGCAGTGGTAAAATTAGATTTCAAGAATGCATTCAATCTCCTGAAAGAGACGTGGTATTAGCAGCAGTACAAGAACTTTTCCCCTGGTCTCTTCCCTTTTGTTTCAGCTGGGTATAGCAAGGAATCAATGCTTCTCTTTGGAGAGCATGAAATCACATCATCGGAGGGTGTCCAACAAGGAGATCCTCTTGCACCATTTCTCTTCTGTATTGCAGTTAGGGAAATCACAGTCAGACTGACCAGCGAGCTAAACATCTGGTTCTAGATGATGGCACACTAGCAGGTACAAAGGAGTCCCTCCTACATGACCTTACACAGGTAATGACACGGGGACAGGAAATGGGTCTCATCCTGAATCCATCCAAAATGTGAAATCATCTCAGTCAGTCAACAAGTGATAAATGCAGTGAGATCAAAACTACCAGGAGCAGCAGTCATTGCCCCACAATAGTGTCTTGCTAGGAGCACCTCTGGGAAGCAATGCCATTGACACAATTCTCAGGAAGAAATTGGAAGAGTTAAGGAGAATGGAACAACGAATAGGCAATCTGGACACCCACGATGCCTTGTACCTTCTCACAAAAGTGCTTGAGTCTGCCCAGGTTGACATATTTCCTAAGATGTGCACCTTCATATGATAACCCTATACTGCACGAATATGACAGTATTCTGAGGCAGATTTTTACGAAAGTACTTAACCTTACTCTAGAAGACGGGCAGTGGAACCAAGCTACACTTCCAGTCAGACTAGGAGGCATTGGTGTCCGCAAGTCATCACAGATTGCGTTACCTGCTTTTCTGTCCTCGTGTATTGCATCCAGAGAGCTTGTAGCAGCGATTCTCCCTGAACATCTTAGGGACAAGATTGGAGCCAGGACCAAAAATTCATTGACGGAGCAATGATTGGGATAATCTAACGGGCTCAGAAACCAGACCTGCTCCCCCCGACAACTACAAACAATCGCACCTGGGATGGTCCAATAGTGGAAAATATAGCCTCAACGATGCTTCAGAGTGTGTCAGGGAAGGATAGAGCCCGCCTCCTGGCAGTGAGAGCCCCTCATGCTGGGGACTTTCTGTTGGCTGTTCTCAACTCCAGCCTTTGGAACACGCCTCGACCCACAGACCATCCGCATCGGTGTTGCCCTTCGACTTGCCGCCCCTATTCTCGCCGAACACAGGTGTATTTGTGGCAGTGAAGCAGCAGACCGATTCGGGTACCATGGTCCTTGTGTGCCGTAAATCCGAGGGAAAGATTGCAAGACATGAGGAGGTTAATAAATTATCAAGAGGAGCCTCAAACAGCTGGATGCCCAGCAGTAAGGGAGCCACCCCAACTATGCAGATCTGACGGCAGCCAGAAGCGTCCAGATGGTATCACCCTTCAAGCCTGGACAAATGGGAAGGCAGGTGGTGTGGGACTATACATGTGCATCTACCTTGGCTGATAACTATCTCCAATACACCAGGGAGGAAGGAGGGGCAGTGCCAGCTTTAGGGGAGTCCCAAAAGTCTAGGGAAAATATGGAGAACATTGCCCTCATTATATGTTTGTTCCATAGGCTCAGAGACCCTTGGCTCATGGGGAAAGAGTGCATCTAATTTCCTTAAGGAGCTGGGAAAAAGATCATCAGGGTAACTAGGGATCCCAGGGCAGCTAGTTTCTGTTCCAGCGGCTCAGTGCGGCTGTTCAAAGGGGTAATGCATGCTGCATTTTGGGCACACGCCCAGCTCTTTGGAGCTGGATGAGATTTTCGCCTTATAATCGGTGATACACACGTAACAACATGTACCGTATATGCCACCTTTATATCAACAATGTATCTCTTAAAATTTCTGTGCCATATTATGTAATAAAATATTCCTATATATATATATATATATATATAATATAATATATATATATATATATATATATATATATATATATATATATTTATATAATATATATATATATATATATATATGTCGTGCCGAATAGGCAGAATTTGCGATCTTGTTAAATTGCAAGTTTCATCTTGCATATAAGACAATGAAAATTTGTGGATGCTAATTCCAAAATCATTCTGAATAACGAAAATAATTTCACTGTGTTGTTTAGTATTAAATTATGTAATCAAATCTAAAAATATATTTGTTGGGTTAGGCTAAATAAAATGCTCTTGTTATAATAAGGGTTTGGTCAAATTTCTAAGTTTTTTTGTTGCAAAATTTAAAAAATTTTACTTAAATTAAGGAAAAAAATATTCTTCAAGGTACAAAAAATTTTAGAAAGGACTTAATTTTAAATGAGTTCTTGCTAATGGCCAGTTTTACATATTCGGCACGACATATATAATATATAAATATATATTATATAAATTAATACTACTATATATTATAATTATAATTTATATTTATATATATTATATATATATATATATAAATATTCTTATATTAATTTTATTTTATATAGTGTGTGTTTGTGTGTGTGTGTGTGTGTGTGTGTGTGTGTGTGTGTGTTGTGTGTGTGTGTGTGTGTGTGTGTATGTGTGTGTGTGTGTGTGTGTGTGTTGTGAGTCATTTCCGAAACCAAATGCAAAATAGTGAAGTCAGTATCACTTCTTTAAAGATTATAAATGTAAATTAAATTCTTATAATGACAAGGAATTTAGAGAAGAAATGCAGAGAAACTTTATTTTCTTTCCTTGATACAACGATAGGAAAGCAACCTCTGGAGTGATAAAATTAGTCAGTCTGAGAATTAAGGGCGGCCTAAGTGTGCTAGGCAATCTCACCATTCAGAGCTTTGTAAAATAGTCTAGTGTTTCGGAGAGCCTAGCTTGTCTCTCCTGTGTGTTCAAGTCTTTATTATTTTACCTGTGTGTTTGAGTCTTTCTCGCTCGTTTATTGTGTGTCTGATAATCTCGCTCGAATATTAAGTATCTGAGAGCCTCGCAAGTCTCTCTTCTGTGTTTGATAGTCTTGTTCATCTAGACTCTAGATTCTAGAGTCTGAGAGTCACCCACACCTCTCAGGTGACTTCAAGAGTCTCCCCCACCTCTCATGTGCATTTGAGAGTCCTGCACAGCTTCCTAACTTCCATATACTCCCTCTCACAGCATTCGAATCTCCTCCGGTAAGGTGGAAAGCATTAGGGACGTGCTTCCATAAGACACCTGCTGTCCCTGTCCCAGTTCACCCATCAGTTTAAAATGGGTACCTGGGTGTTAGTAGACTGGTGTGAGTCGTTTCCTGGGACAAAACTGACTTAATTTCCCCGAAATGTTCAGCATAACAAGGGGCTTTCTATATAGTAGTATGTCATTGTATACCTGTATGTCTGTATACCTTGTACATGTACTTGTAGCAAATAAAGATATTATTATTATTATTATTATTATTTCAGCTGAGCCCCCAGCTACACAGCACCTGATTCTCTGGCTTTACAACCTTGTGCCAATCAAATTACTGAAAGTGCTCAATGTGCTGTTTGATTATGTCAGTTCATAAAGAGGTCTCAGGGTGATGACTGTGTCTGTTCTAAGAGGAATCAGCTGTGCTAAACATCGGTGGACACAAAGAGTGTGTCTATGTTTGCAATGCCTTCAGAAAGCTGCTGATGAGCGAAACATAGCAAGTGTGAAGAGTACGTTACAGTTTATCCGATGAATGTCACACAACCATTGTGGTATGCCCTCCTGACCAGTGAACTAGCAATTAAGAGTATAACAGTCGTAGCCGCACTGTTATGC